GTATTCGACGGGCGCTTACCGCGCGATCCAATTCCATCTTGGAGTTATAAATTTTTTGCGGTGCTCGTAAAGACGCGCTTGAGCAGAATCGTCGTGATATATCGGGTGTTCTTCACAAAAGGCCGCAACGAGTCGGTCGTTAAGATACCGAAAGCCCCCGGCGCTACAATCAACGTGTATAAAACTTTCGAGACTCTAAGAATATAAAATCCGTAAAAGTGTCGGATGAGAGATAGAAGTATTGGTACACCGCACTTTTCTCTTTACATTTTTTTTTATTGTAAATAGAAAAATCGATCGAGTTTTTATTTGTCGAATGACGAAGTGTAATTTGATTATATTGTTATTTTTTGATTGATGATAGAGAGAAAAAAAGAGCAAAATAAATTAATTGTTAAAAATAACATTCAATATTATGATAATTTTATTACATAATTACTTTGAGAAAATCTGGCTTGTTTAATAATTACCAAAAAATTGAGCTTTTATTGCGATACTTTTTATCTAAAGACAAATGTATATATGACGACAAAACTAAAACATCAAATATTCAAGAAAACCACGTTTGCTATCGTCAGAGGGAAAAACCCCGGTTTCATCTGATTGTGAGCAATAAGAAATGTCCGTGGTCAGCCAAAATGAGACCAATAAAGAAGCGTCAACATTCATCTGACAAATTCTATCTGAATTCTACGAAGACTGAAGCACGAATATTAAATGGAAAATATGATAATCACAAATCTACTGAATCTGAATTTGGTTCCGCCTGAATTTAGTTGAGTCAATCAAACGTCAGTAAAATTAGCAAACGATGAATATTTAAAAAGCTTTACTATTATAATATATATTTTATCTCCACTGAAAGGAAATATTACGCTTTTAAAATAACATATTTCAATATTCACGTGCATGATTTACGCGCTATATAATTACCCAGCTACTTCAACAATATTAACTTGCAAACAAATATGTGATGATAGCTTACTGCTTCACTCCATATTTATTTTTATCGATTTTTTAACTGGAAAGTTATTGACGAGTATTTGTCGTAGCAGGTTGCAGCTTCATTTCCGGTTCACTCTCTCTCTCTTTCTCTTTCACCCATCTTCTCTCAACCACTCATGCTCCTTTACTTTGCCGTAGCCGAGAAACCTTATGTCTACGCGGTAGTCCTTCGAGTAGACTGAAATCAGATTGGGTCAGGTCAGGTTCGTGTCTTCCGCCTTTTAAAACAAAAGGCGGCATCTTGGGAAAATTTCTGCTCGACTGAACGGCTCACTGTCTCCTTCCGCTTTCGTATTATTCTTTCTAGCAATTGATGTAATATGATACACTGAAGCTCTATTTATCTAATCTAATAATACACGCGCAGCATAACTCTATCATTTCGATTCTTACAGATATTCCTTGTGGAAAAAAATCATTTTTGTCATATTGATTAGATAAAAAAATTGTTCGATTTTTAATCTAGCACGGTAATTTAGTATTTTGAATTTAATACATAGCTGTTAACATGTTAAATAAAATGTGAAATGTATATCAAATCAAAAAATATTAGATAACAAATTATTATCTTTTATTTTAGAACAAAAAGAAATTTTATTTATAAGAGCAAATTGTGTTGAGATTTCTTTTTTAGCTTTTACAATCTCTTTTATATATGAAATCTTCAGCTACAGCGTTATTCAGATAGCATATGCAATTTTATGTGTTGCGAGTCGGTTTAATTTAATATTACACCACTGGCGACTAGCTGACTTGCTCCGCTCTTTCTCTTTCTCTCTGTCGAGCAACTCGAAACGTGGGGAGGGTAGCCGCGTCTCGCGCACCGAGAGAGAGAGATCGAATTTGCGAAATGGCTGTGTATGAGGGCTGAATTTCTGACGAGGTAATTCGCGAGGGCACCGGCGCGCGGGCGCCGGGAACGAAGTAATGTCCCGTGGAAAGTAGAAAGGAAAAGCTCGTAAAGGGGGCGAAATTCAAAGTGAATTTTCCAAAGTAGGCAGCACATTACGGCAGCTCCGTCAATTGACTTTGTTAGGGAGAAAAATCGTCAGACGTGCGCACGGACGTCGCGTTTAGTCGCTTTGCAGCGGGGCTTTTCGATCTATCTCATAGATACTCCGGAGAGCATCCGCGAAGAATGATATCAGTATATGCAAGTGACAACGGTGCATTTAAAAAGAGTCTTATCATTTTTTATTATATTTCATATTATTTTATTTGATCTATTATAACTGTATTTCAAGACTATAAATTTCTAATATTTTATATTTTTACAATAAAGCCTCAAATATTTCTTAAATCTCTTTCAAAATTTCTCTTATAGCAAAAGAGATTAACCACAAGGTTTACTGTCTAGCTCTCGAATTTTAACTTACGAAAAATTCTTTCTTCTTTGATATTAAATATCTTTCTCATTAAAACTTTCATCAAATCTTGACTGAACTAAAATCGATTTGGCGTATTGCGTAGTACGATGAATGTGGGACAGGGCTATATGCAAAGTTCGCGGAATCGGGCGAAATCATATTACACTTGGACTTCAACTACCCACCGTTAAATCTCGCATATACGTTCGACTGAGTTTCTCTTAATTGCGGAATTTAATCAAAATCGAGGTCTCTTCTTTATTGCAAATCGTCAAGCACGTTTGAGTAGAATGGAAGCGTACGATGTCGAGGTAACGAAGAAAATCATAAAGAAGGTGGAGGAAGAAAAAGACTAGAGGATCGGAGGGGAGAGGAAAAAAGACGCGGCGTGGAAGAGGTGGATCGCGCGGTTTTCATCTGCGAAAATTAAGGAGGAATCTGCCGGTAGTAAGAAAGTCCGTGCTAATTAAGGCTGTTTCTTCGGAGATTCCCCTTTCGCGGCCGGCCCCCCCGGCCCCCGGCTTTTAAATAAATTATACCGAGTTAAAAGCCTCTTCGCACTTCCTCAGATAATCCGCGGGGCCGTTTCGCTCGCCAAAGTTATACCCGCGGGAGAAATCTCGACGGTGGAAAACGACGAGCGTTCTTCTCCCGTTTATAGGTATGCCGCTGGGCCATAATGCACCGAGTGATCTAACGCGGGTATACTTTCTGCCGCAATTACGTTGTAAAGCAAATAGGATGCTCATCCCCGGTTGCTCTCATCGTCCGGCTCTTTACGAAAATGCAATTAACCCACCGAGCCAGATTCAATTATTTCCGGCATGGCGATTAGCGGCGCCTTCGTTGATAGTCTTTTTTACAAATAAACTACGACTCGTGAATGAATGTTTATTGGAAACATATCTTTTTGTAATATGATTAATTAATTAAAATTTATACAAGATGCGCGCCTAGAAAGTGGAGTTTTCAACATTGTTAAGAAATTTTTGAATCAGGAATTTGTTGCGAGAATTATGAAGCTATGTCGATCGGATGACAAAATATCCGGCGTTAGAAAACGTCGATTAAGAGCAGTTGTAAACATCCCAGCCGGCTTTTCAGGATTTCGAATTCTTCGTCCTTTGTAAGTAAGGCATCGTCGCGACCGACAGCGAGTCGTCGTTAACGCCATTGTTCTCACGGTACTCCCGGCGCGTTAAGAACGTCCCAACGCCTTCGAGTTAAGTAGATGTTTCTCGGGACGTCGGGTGCATTTTTAAATAATTCGATGCAAAGCAGCCGAGAAAAGGCGCAAATTCTCTCCACGAGGAGGCAAGGGAGAGGGCAAGGCAGATAGAAAGAACGAATGGAATTTCCGTGGGATTCGCTTCTCCTCGCGGCAGACGTGGCTAGAAAGCGCGAACGATTCGGAGCGACTTTTACAACTTAATTTTTGCGTATTTGCGAGATGCGACGACGGCGGACTGCCGGCTGCTTTGCGGAAGAAAAGTAAATTTTCCGACACGTTTGCTCGTGCACATGCATCGCGTTCGTAAGCGGCAGCGCGTGTCGTGTTAGATTTAAGTTGAAATTTTTTTAATTTATTACTCTCTAGTTTTATTTATTACGAACCACAACGATCGATTTAGACAATTTTTCAAATTTTTATTAAATATTTAATAATAATTAAAATTAGAAAGTTGCGATTGATAGTAGCACTCCATAAAATTTTTAAGAAAAATATGATTTTATTGAAAAATTGATCTCGAAAAAAAGGAAACATCGAACATTCTGTATTAGAAAACATTACGTTATTTTATCGATGTATAAAAACGTAACATTGCTCTTCTTTATTATAATTTATTATGCTTATTTCGATCTTATGCTTTCGAGAATATATATTGCAAGTCTTTCCCGCGTTATCTAAATCTAGAAGGGCTCCTACGAGCTGACTATCAAATAGTGAAGATAAATGATAAGTCAGACCATAAAATATCACTTGGTAGATAAACCGTAGCGTAGTTATCAGTATCTCTGTCTTTAGGTTTAAATATTTGCCGTAGCATAGCGTTATAAAATACAAGATTTAAAAAATAGAATCAAAATTAATTTAATAGTTTTTTTGAAAAATTATTCAATATATAACATTTTGATTTGAAAACATATATAATAAATCTAAATATTTTATTCGCATGAATTTGCGAGTATTGTATCAAATTATTGACTAATCACATAATTTCTAAAGCTACAATTGCGAAATTTGAAGACGGATTGCTTGCATTGGTTATAAGACGGTAGGGTTCCGAATGGGAGCTGACTATCAAGTAGTAAGGATGGATGCCAGGGCAGACGGTATTAACCACTCCACCTATTGGTATTGGCACGTGCGCGCGGAGAAAATATTGCCGAGTCGAGAATTCGCGAATAAATCTAAATAACCTTCGTATCGGAATACCGCAGTCTTTCGTATCTCTATCCCGCGTATTTATTAAAAACATCACTGTTGGAATGATTTCTCTCTCCCTTTTGCCGACAGATATCGTATTTTACTCCAATCGTCTAACAAAAAAAAAAAAAAAACAGAAATTTTCATTTACACATTTTATTCTTCAACATGCAAGTCTGAATATATAAAATACTGGTCAGATTTATATAATTGTAATATGTAAATTATAGTATAGAGAACTCGAAAGTAGCATTATGATCGTAATTCAAGAACCATATTCGTGTAAAAATCAACGGGATGATTGATTATCTGAGATTGAATACTTCGATTTACAGGCACGCATTCCATCAAACATTATGTTCGCTGTATATTGTTCGCCTTTCGAAAGATACTTTATCATACAACTATATCTGTTGCAAATCAATTGCATGTGTTTAAAAATATTAGACATCAGTATCATTAACATAATTCTTACATGGTATCGCTTACTATTTAACAACAAAATTTGTAAGTAAAGATGCGTAAATAAAAATACGATCTTTCCGCCGCATTTAATACCGATACAATCTTCTGTAAACAGAAAACTATAAAAATATCAATACGCACCTTCTTTTTTATCGCGTATTACCTTTCTTCTCTTTATACCCAAGAGAATCGCAGCACGAATATCTTCCCAAACGAACCGCGTAGATTAACGACACAAAAAATAAGTAACTCCAGAGCCGCACTCCGTCAGTCTAGATCCAACACTTCTCCGGGCGCGAAACTATCCTCGCGATCTTCTTTTCGGGTTCTGTCGAGATGACCGTCGGGCGACATATCCTTCCCGGCGAAGCGATTGCCGAAATTCAGAAAATCTGTGCCGCAGGGGCTGCCAGCCTGTGTAGATTCGGGGAAACGTTCTCTTTTTCGTCGCTTTTACCGTAATTACTCTCAAAGGTTTTTACTTGGAGCAAGAAGCTGTCCGCGGCGTTCTCCATCGGCTGTCGGTGCAATCGTTGCGGCGACACGGTCGCGCACTGCTGCATGACGTTGTCGCAGAAATCCACTGCACTGCCCATCTCCTGTAACAAAACGCCAAATATCATATCAAGTAATCAAGACGCCAGCCGAATTTTCATTCGCCACTTAGCAGCAAATAAATTTCCGATCATTAATTTATCGTATATTTGGCAAAGATTTTTACGCAAAGAAATTTCAATCGAAGAAAATTTATGTGAAAAATTAGCTAAAAGTGATTATCAAAGAAATCACATTACAATGAGAAATATTATGATAAACGTACAAAATAATTTTAATTACCGCAAAAAGAAAGTTACTTACAAATTTCTTGTCGTCGACAACTTCTACGACGTCTCCCTCTTCAGTAGTAGTGATAATACCGGTGCCCAGCTTTTTACCGAGTATCTTTACTTCTTTCTTGCATCCTTCTAACATGTCGACGGCATTAGGTGTGCCATTCGTCTGTATACTCTTAAGGAACTGCTCGAACGGACTAAAGACTCTGTCTTGATAATGCGAAGTGGCCAATTCATGATTATGATTTTTCGGTCCTAAAATCTTTACATCGTTCATAGCAGGAGGAAATATCCTTGGAGGTGGCAGCGTCAACTTACTGTTGAAAGGCTGCAAAATTCGTCGACGTACCGTTTAAAGATGTTCTCGATAGATATTGCTTATAACATAATGACTTTTTATACGGCCGTACCTTAACACACTGATTCCCGGAGTCGAACATCTTTATGTCCGATTGACCGAAAGATATTAAACCAGTATCACAGTCGTCGTCGAAGACCGAGGACAGTTTCATCTTCGAATCGTATTCCGAGTGATGATCTTCCACAGGGGAGACGCCGAGAATATCTAGATCTTCCGCGAAGCTCTGACTGCTCTTCAGATACGGAAGTGTCTCATTCAATAGCGGCAATGGCGGATGGTTCTTCATTAACAGAGACGATAACGAGGACTGCGAGCTGGATAGATTCGAGGAGTGGCCCAAGATGCTCGTTAGGTCCTGCTGGCTCGACGGTACGGCCATTGCTGGGATCGGCAACCATAGAATATTAGAAACATACTGTGTCAAAAAACAAATTAAATCTAGCGCTTCGCATTGTTACAAAAGCATCATATTTTTTCATCATATCGACTATCAAAAAATCTGAGTTTTTGAATTAGATATAAATTGTTTGAATTATAGAGAAATAATTTACGTATTGATTATGAAATCAATAACTCTGATTTATATTTAATGAAATATGCGACAATTGTCTGAGATTTTTTTGGCACATTTTTACTTACCATCGTCATGCACGGCTAAGCCGCTGTCGCCGTCGATAGTCAGTGATTTGGGACCCAGCAAGAGATCGTCAATTTTCGTCTGGGAGAGGAATGTTATACCATCCGCGAAACGATCGTCGAAGCTCTTGCCCTCGAGAATCCTGATGTCTTTGTCCTCGAGAATCTCGATACCGTCCATTGACATACTGTTGGATTTCTGGTCAGATTCCAGGACCATGATCTGATTATCGTTGTCGCCGATGATGACGTCACCGTTATTGCGTATATTCGCGAGATTGATGGCGTCCGCCTGTTCGCCGTCAAGAATCGTTACGTCGTGGGAATTCTGCGCCATTAAGTCGCGGGCCTCGTTGCTCGTCATAACCTGCGACCATAACAGGCGCGAATAGCAGAGGCATTGAACTGTTTAAAGCTTTGTCATGATCGGAATAATTTATTACAGTAGTGCGAACTGAAAAGCGTACGCATGAATACGTTACATATTTTACAGTCCCAGAGTAATTTTCATAAGCACGAGAAATAATTTTATACAAATGTATTTGGCAATAATTAAAATTTTTAACGCATTTTATGCACAATCCACGGTATTTAAATCGGGAAGATACTTAAGATTTTAGACTCGTCCATGATTTAAATTCTATGAATAAATGTAAAAATTAATTAGCTTTCCAAGGTTAATTTAGAGACTGAAAATTATGAATTAATTGAAGTCCTCATGATGTCTAAATTCTACAATGTAAATGTCAACATTAATCAGATTTCTGATGTTAATTTGAAGACGCGCTAAAGATAAATTTAGCAAACGCTGTTTCTATAAGAACGTTGCGCGGCACGTTTCGCAAGCGTGGCAGTACGACAGTCTTCTAAATAGAGAAATCTATGTAAAGGAATGGAGGCACCTGACGTGAATACTCCGAATGTGTCGCGCGTACGATAGGACGAAAAGTCGTTCGAAAAGACGTCGACGCAGTAACGCCAATTTTGCGTATAAAAGTACGTTGCCTGCTCAGAAATAAGAATGTCGAAAATCGACGTTATATCTCGAGTTACTTACATATAAAATTATAATCCTGCAATGTCTACAATTATCAAGATTTTTTATCAAGATACATCGTATTAGAGATCAAACTTGAGAAAGGAATAAAGGAAGATTCTTAATTTAAAAAATACAAAAGTTGCAATAATATACCGTAAGAATAATTGCATGAAATTGTGACGAAGAAGAGATATTACTTCAATTTTCAATAAAGAATATTATTCTCATTACCAAACGCAACTATCAGTGCACATACCGTATGAGTGAAAACGCAGCTTTATGCATGAATAAGACAATTGTTCCCGCATTACCTCGTAACGACCATCTTCTGTGGCACGAACGAACTGTATTCCACCTTGCGCAGCCAGCTCCAGCAACTCGTTATAATCGTCCATCGTCGGAGCCGAATTCGGGCCGTTTGGACGATCCAATTCATTGTGATTGAGTTCGGAAAAAGAGAACTGCGAGTCCAACGCTGTCACTAGATCATCTGATAACGATAAATTAAAAAAAGAATTTTTTTTTATCGAGAACATCTTACTTTGCAAAATTCCCGAGAGCTTACCTTCCTCCTGTTCCGCTCCGGGAGGCTCGATGACGAAGCTGGATTTGCCATCGGCTTCGATATTCTGTATCACTGTGGCAACAACCGGCACTTTTACCTGAACCGCCTTATTACCATCAACGTCTGCAGTCTCGATAGAATTCAGGGTAATTTTTCCTGTCATTCGTAAATCCTCGGCAGTCGCAGGTGTGAGTATCTGTGCAACAATGCAACAAATGCTTCCTCAGAATTTTATCAAGCAATTTTTTTCTAGGATTTATTACAATATTAATGTTAATATGCTTCGAAATCATCGTTAATTGAATACTCTTGCAGAATATAGAGTCTATTTAAAGTAAGTGCTATGAATTTAATTGGCAGAAAAAGTAGATCATTTTTAAATATTTTATAACAGTTTTATAAATAAGTTTATTTTATCTGCACTTATCTAATTTTGAACAAATTGAAGCAAGTGCGAGTAAATTGGATCGATGTTTAAAAATATTATAAAATCTTTAAAAAGAATCCGCCGATTCGATTCTCCTGTATTTATTCTCTTATTTTTTTAAATTAGTTTCTTGCGAAGTCAACTAACTCTGAATTTTTTTATCATCAAGTATATTAAACATGAAAATAATAATTGCATTAAAGGGAGATAAAAAAATTTAAATTAGCTTCACTATTATTTAAAAATTTCCTACTCATGCATAAACTTATTAATTTCATTAATTTGTTAATTTATTCAATTATATAGTTTATAATTTTTTAAATAATACAAGTGTAATACACGAATAACTTTAACGCTTATCTAATTTTTGATAAAAAAGCTAAAATCGCGGAAAAATTTAATTATAAATTCGTTGAAAATGTACTTACATGCTTATTACTGGCAGTGGGCGAAATTTTAACGAGAACCGGTATACCTTTCGCGGGTTTATAGAGAGCGAAAGGCATCTGGCCTTCGAGCATCGCCATTTCCATCGCTTTCGTATCGATCTTATCTATCACGATACTATCCATTAAATCCGACTTTCATGAAAGAGAATTACAAAACTAATTACGCAATCCAGTTCATTGTATTTATCGTAAATCAAATGTATACCAACCGAGCCGAAATAATCCTTCTCTTTGCTTACGCTAATGTGATTCCGATCGCCATTGGACAATTGTATGATCCTAACGTTCTTGCTGAAAATGCACAATAATTACATATTGCACGCTGGGAATATCCATAATTGAATCACGCTATTTTGCATTGCATGTAACAATCACTGGACATATAAGCGCTTTGACATCCTCTATCTAATCTCCGTGGAAATTTAATCAATTACGCGAAATCAATAGAAATTCAATTCACAAAATTCCTACTAATTCCTCTCAATTTAATTACAATTGCGAGGTCTTCTCTCTTATCTAGTAAAAATACCGACAATAATTCATATAATCGATTATTTTAATTAAAACAGATTCGAAATTAATTGTTCGCGTTCCACGAATATTTACGTTTGGTGGCAGGAAAATTCCGACGATTTTTCATGTTATTTTTACATTCGTTGCACCGACGATCGCGCATTATACATCGCGACTAATATCGCAGTCTCTTTCACGTACTTTTTGGCATTATTGGACTCCTTCACGGCGGGCTGCACGTTGCTTCGATACTTTATGCCGTGCTTGTACTCCTCGTGCGACCGCAAAGCAAATCTGCGCGGAAAGTCCTTTCCGCATATTCCGCACGAGTATTTCATACTCTTATCGGTGTGTGCGTGCGCCTTTACCTTGTGACAGACCAAATTCGACATCTGATTGAAGCCCTTGCCGCAGAGCTCGCACTTGTAAGGTCGTTCGTTCGTGTGCGTAAACACGTGGTTACGTAGATTGCCTGAAAAGACCAATATTAATTGCCGGATATTGCAAGTTTACGGACAGCGGAGCATTTCGCGTCGGTTCGCGCAATGAAATATCATGAAAGCTATTGAAAGATATTGATAAAAATGGAGAGATATTGATAAAAATCTAGAGAAAAAAAGGAAGATTTTTCTTTTTTCTTTATGTAAAAATATTGTAAATTCTCTCAGATAGAGTTTGTTTGTTCGAAATAATAGATCGTCGCGTAATTTATGCGTCCGTGTTATACCCTTTTGATGAAATCCTTTGCCACATACGTGACACTTGTGCGGCTTATGTTCGGAATGAGTTTTCCGGTGGGAAATCAACGTGGACACCCTGAAATTCGTATTATACTAAATCAGCGCAAACACTCCGAAATTCGCATTATTTGCAATATTTATTTATAAGAGCGACAAATCGACTTTGCAAATAAAAATTGAAAATTTACCACCCGCTGTTCTGCAATTTAAACGCGAAACTTAGATCTACAAGAGATAATGACATTTCGTACCTGTTAAACGTTTTCTTGCAAAACTCGCACACGTAGGGCCTGGCGTCGCTGTGTATAGCCTTATGCTGACTCAATGTTGACAACTGGCGGAAAGCCTTGCCACAAGTATCGCATTTAAAGTTTCTCTCGTCGGTGTGAGTCGGCAAGTGTCTCATCAAGGTGTACTGATGGCGGAACTCTTTTGAACCTGATTCGAATATTAAACGTGAAAGTTTCTTATTACGAAAACAAGCCGTCGACCCTTCTCGAGTCAACATTAAAAAGTAATTACTCTCCACACCGCGAGATTGAATGAGAATTCTTAATCGCATTTCCGACGAAAAAATATGAGACTTATCATTTTTATTTAGATCTTATTCGGATGTATAAAAATCTCGCGTATAGATATAATGCGGGAATAGAATCCTTATTTATACAGTTCTCGCGTTTGCTTCGTCAACTCTATATTTCTATTTAAATATTACTATTTTTTTTATCGGAGCAAAGAAATAACGGAGAAATTACGTACAAATGCCGCATTCCCAGATCTTGAGCGTTTTCCCGTCCCGTTTGAGATATTTCACAAAATGCAACCTGGATCGCGGATCATCCTTATCGATAAGACGGGTTTTTGAGGAGGAAGGCCCTTCGGCAACAGAACGTGAATATACAACCACACTCTCGTCTGGCGTACTGGCACTTTGCTCGAGAATCTGAAAAAACCGGGACTTGAAAGTTTAACAAAAATACCAGGGCGGTGAATAAAGGGAATTTATTAGTTCGCAAAGTATTGTGATTAAGAAACCTTTTAAGATTAAATTATATATGCAACAATTCACTGCAATGTCAAAGATTACATTATACCGTGTGAAAGCGCAATTTCACCAAACAATACTTCCATAATTATACTGTATCGCGATGTAGATAGGCAAATACCCGGCACATAAAACTGTAAAAACAAGCGTATGCAAATGAAATTCTTCAAAGTAAGAAGAAAGGGGCAACTAGATAAACGGAGCGCCGCCCCGTCAGGTGAAATATTTCATGTAAACTGCTGCAGTAACGATATGCACTCGCTCTCGGCAAACAACTTGCCGCGCTAATAGTTCGACAAATATTTAAGATACCTTACTTTGGCACTTACTTTGTACCTTAACGCGTCCTTGCCGAGGAGTTTCGTGACGGTGCCGTCGATATTGATCACCTCGGAGTCTATGGCTGCATCTAGGTCCACACAGTCGCTTTTGGATGCGATTTTACACGATCGCAAATCGTTCTCATTGATAAAACCTTCGCCGCGATTAATCATCTGGATCAATGGTTGGTCGACGGCAGGTCCTAATCCTGGCATACCGGGTACATTACCGCTCCTCGAGTCAGAGCCAGATTCTTCTTTCACGTACACCTCGTAAACGCTAAGTCGTCATATTGATTTCATCAATTACGGCATTTAGGAATTTAGGACAAATATTGACGTGCGATACGTGAAGCAATAATACAAATTTTAACTAACACATTTTTAGGTGCACAAAAATTCATTTAAAAAGTGAGCAGGATATTGGTCTAATATTTCAAAATTAATTTTAACGTAACGTAAGTTACGTAATTTGATTTTATCTTTTTTTGTACCCGACACACTAAAAAAAGTAGTTCGTATTGGTCGCATACATTAATGTTGCAAGCTCACCTGATAACATCGTCTGGAATGGGACGAGAAAATTGCACCTGCGAATCGTCGTACTGAGTTTCCCCTACAAAGTGAAAAAGTATTCCGTGAGAATTCTCTTATCTTAAAAATAATTATACAACGATATATTATCATACAGATATTTTACAAACTCTATTCTTCTCGCGCGTTTCTGACAAACATATTTTACATTTCGGTGTAATGTAAATTTTCTCTATTCATCAAAACTTATTTTATTCTCTTTTTGAAAGCATAACTTCACAAACAGTAGATCAAACATTTCATAAAATATTGAATAGGTATTTTCGTTATTTTTATTATTACTTTCATTATTTTTTTATTATTTATGATTTATTATCCGTTTATTATAAATGCAGCAGCAATAAATTTATTTATCAACATAGTTAATTTGGAGCATAAAACGGAGCAAAAATATTATTTTTCAAATATAATTTCTCAATGTTCTTTTCAAGCGAGTAAATATCGATAGTACATGAATATTTACTTGCTTGAGAGAAAATACATTTGTGATATTGTTTGTGAAGGAGCTTCAGTTTTACTCCTTCGAAATTCTTTGGGAGGGAGAGCATCGTTGTTTTGATTACGTAACCGAGTGATGGGCGAGTGGCATTTCAAAGGAGACAATGCATCGTTTAATCGTACGTCATACCAGTTCTAAATAGTCTCACAATATTATACGCTGCACAATATTATATCCTAAACATACATCGAAAAGTTTTGTTGCGTTTGGAATTATGTATATTTTACATACACGACACTTGTTTAATTGCTACCTTATGCATGACTGTTAGTCGATAAATAATTAAATTTACAATCATTATTAAGTTGTGAAATGAAATAGTAAATTAATTAAATATGTCAGAGTTAATATGAGATATAATTAATCCAATATCTCTTAATTGCATTGAGGATATATAATCCATTCCTATTATAATACATAATTTCAATATTTTTAATTAAAAGAATCATTTATTTATTATTTTGAGACTCTATCATTTATAAATTTACCATCATAGTTTTTGTCATTTTATTTTGGAGTAATTTATTCTGATAATATATATATATATATATATATATATATTTCAGTCACATAATTTCCAATTGCTACCTTATATTCCATTATTAAATTAGAGGTAACTGAGATACACACGAATGAGAACAAATAGTCAAATAATACCACGGTTGTAATGAAGAAGCATACTGTAAACAGTTTCCTCCGAAAATGCCAAGGGCTCCGAAAATCTTCAAGGCAGGGATCGTCCTTGCACAATGCATAATACTCTGATTTACGGTCACGAAGTGATTAATTTTTTATTTGCCGTATGCTTTATTTAAATCGACAAAACACGCAACCGATCTCTCTGAGGTGTCACATTACATCGATTCGCAGCTCAGATCTCGGTTTTTTTGTCTGCCGTTAAATAAACGAAAGCCGCCATTATCAGAGCTCATTTTTCACGATACGACGCACGCATAACATGCGAGCGGACGTCGCGGCTCATTGGCGAAAGGAACGGCGAGGATAATGATGGTCCTACTCACAATTGTATCCCTGCAATAAGTTGCCCTGCGACATTCTCGCGCATCGATCGTCCTGTGCTCGTGGATCGGATCCTGGCTGGCGCTTCTTGCCTATCAATGTCATTCGCGTTGACCGCTGTTGATCGCTACCGAATAATTCCTAGAATCAGGCAATTGCATGCAACACGAGCGCCATCTGGCGAACGATTCAAGATCCAAAACTCGCAGGAACTCGTCCTGTCTCTATCGCTCGCAAAATGAATAGCAGAAAACTTATTTACTTCTCGAAAAAAGCTCGCGAAAAAATTTATTCTGATATTAACTTATTCTTATTTTAACTTCTTATTTTAACTTTTTCTGATTTTAACTTATTTTGTATTTATTTTTAGCATATTTTTTGTGTATTTCTTTACTTATTTCTAATTCTGCAGCAGATTATGTCACGTTTCACGACATTTTCACGAGATTCTATAACAAAGAAAATTGCGGAATAAATTTGATCGCTGTAGTTTAGATGGAAATTTAACTATCTCTCTAATTAAGATAAATGCAAATGTAGGATCTTCTCATTTATATCGCTTGAATATTTAGATTTGAATTTGGCTTTTTTAAGTCTGAGAAACTCGACTACATCAGCTTCACTTCTCTCTCTCTCTCTCTCTCTCTCTCTCTCTCTCTCTCTCTCTCTCTCTCTCGTCCGTAGTCGGATCTAGATATTTGCGCTTGTAGCATTAATATGCCGGGAAACATCTGGATTCCATTCGATCGGGGGTGAACTAACGGAAACCATCTTGAGACCTGGAGACCGTGGAATACCTCACCTCACCTGTTTCCGAATTCCGGTCAGGTATGTCGGCAGCGGCGCTTTCCACCTACCGACATGGACTCCGCCATACTTGCCCGACTCAATTATGACTTGCTACTTCTTGTTAGCCGCTGTTTAAGTTACTCCGGCTTGCCTTCCTTCCTACCTGCTTGCGTCCTTATTCGAGTTAGCCGAGTCACCCGTCACTCTACTCTCTCGCGAATGCTGAGAGACGCAGTTTTTCCATAGACGTTCTTCTTCAGAAAGAGAGCATTTAAAAGAGCGTGACAAATTAATGTCTCCGAAAACAATGATTTTAAACGAAAGTGTTTCAAGTAAAAGTCATGAGACTTTGAGAAAGACTAGTAGTATATTTTTAACTACGCATTTATTTGTTGAAATAGTTATGTAAAGTTTCAACCTTTTTTCAATTCATCAAATTTGCCAAGCTTCCTTTGCAAGCTAATAGACAATTAATGTGCAATGCGTTTTATTTTTCTACGTAAAAATAGCACTTGACGTTTGCTGTAAAATTGCATTACCTGTTGCACTTCGTCTTTTCTCTTATCTTTTTAATTTACTTTTCTTCACAAATCTAAAATTAAATTTCCCGTATAACGCTATCCGATTAATTGTTGCAAAATTCCGGAGAATGTGTGTAACGTTTACAATCGGTTTACGTAGTGAAAAAAAAAGTTCGCGAACTACGCGCGAGACGACTCATCCGCCATCGATGTTTGCCAGCTACTTGCAAACTGTTGAGGAAGTAGTGGCAGTTCTCACTGGGTGTTCTTACTGCAAACTCTTCGTCTTCTCGGCGCATTGCATGGGCTGAACAAAGCGTACTTCTCTCTCCCGATAGCGCAACATTATGAATGCGCGGGAAGAAGCTTTCGAATGACGTCAGAAATTACGCGTTTCCGAAATACGTACGAAGCGAGTTTGACATACAAAATCCTGACTGAGATTTCCAGTCGAAAGATTCAAATCTTGAACGATGGCGAGAGAGTGCGAACCGAATTCTTAAAAGTGGCTATTGTTCGATGCAACAATGGTCTAGCTTGCTTCTTTTTTTGAACTTGACAGAAGCAATCTAAACGTAATTTTAACAATAAGTAAGTTAATTTAACAACTTCAGGATTTATCGCCGCAAGTTCTGAAAAAAGTAGGTCAGACCATTGTTGCGCTGAAAAGCTTTCGATTTCAATTGGGGTTTGCTTAAAGCAACGCCTCTACTACTTACGGAGAGCCTTAACTTAACTTTGCCGAAAATGCACCATGTATTTTTAGATAAAACACTATTATGCGGAATTTTTCTTTTGCTCACTCTCCGCTTAATATTCGCGAATTCTCTCTCGGAGCTTCCGATCGAAATTTTTCGCGAGATTTTCAAATGAAAGCGCGGTCATTAGAATGCCGAAAGAATTGTTTTCTCGAGGAACGTTTGATTTACCTCATCAGCGAGTTCTTAACTTCGGCGTGGGGTTTGAATAGCGGTCGGGTACTCGAACGAAATGCTTTCACGAACTCGACTCGGTGAGTGGCTGTAGAAAGGTGTGAGAATTCGTAGGAAAGAGAGGACGGAGTTGCAGGAAAGGGAGAGACGGAGAGCGCGGTAGCTCACGACGGTGCGGGGGTGGCAATTTGATTTTGCAACCTAGATAAAGAAAGCTTTCTTCCTCGTTATTGGTTACTACAAGTTCCAACCTCCTCGCTCCTTAACTCGGAAGAATTTCTCGCTACGCGGTGGAACAGCCAAAGGAGTAGTTTCGCCAATGTGAAATTCTAATACGATAGACGTGCGCGCGCGCGCAGCGTAAATTACCGGTACGGCACGAAGATGCGTGACCGCATAGTATAGATGCTCTCAGTGCTATCGAATGTTCGGCTAACGGTTGCCGTGAGATAGATAGCCTTGTGTCGGAACGACCCGTATACAAAATATCGAAAGCTCAATGTCACGAATGAACCCAACGGACATTGAAACCAGTAACACTGAAGATGTTATATATTATACAAAGAAAAATATTGTATACACGAAATCTTACGTGACGTTTATCTAAAAAGCTGAATATTTTGACATGGAAATTTCCAGGAACAGTCTTTTCCTTTCTTTTTTTCCCTCCCAAGTGTCAGCGAAATAAAACTCATGCGATACGTCCAACTCGAATTCGCTGAAATAAGAATTCGCGGTCGTCAACATAACGGATGCTCGGCCAGGCATCATCGTTGCCGCCTTGCTGCATGGATCGAGGACGTGAGATCGAGGAAGAAAGTCCCCAGACTCCCGCCAGAAGTGCCGATGGAGTCGGCCGACCCAAAAACAAAGCCGTAACTCGATAGAGACGCCATCCCGCCGTCAAGAAACTAGGGATGACAAGAATAGGGTGACTCACGAGGCCGCCGTCACCGATTCTTGTTCTCATCTCTCTCCCCTATTCACGTCCGCGCGGCGTTCCTGCACCCCGCGCAAAGATCTGCTCGACAACGACGACGATCGTCTTCCAGGCGGCCACGAACTGTCCAACTGTCCAAGTGCCCATTTTCGCGCCGGTTGGCACTTCCATCTCTCTCCCTATCGCGAATAATATCTCTCCGGAATACACCGACAGGCACGTCTCACGGCCGAGTCCTGACAAATATGTATCGCGGTCCCCCGCATCATTCCGGTTCACCCCGTCGAAGAACGTGCCGCACATATCTCGACGGATCTCTTCCGAAGAATGGGGATCTCCCCGGCTTCAATCGCCCTTGTTTTATACGTAATTACGCGGAAAGATCACTCCCTTGACATTATTTGAATGCGTGGAGTCGGTGGATTCAATTATGATACGCAGTTATATTGCGGAATTGTGGCAAAAACATCACGATTCACTCGTCCTAATAGAAAAATATACTCCGAGACATTTGTTTCTCACACGACTTCTTTTGAAAGGATCATGATTATACCAAAGACGGAATAAACGGAAGAGGATTAAAACGGGCTGATAGAGAAAAATATTATTATGTCTTCGACTGTGAGCGTCGGGCATACGGATTCCGGCGGGGGGAAATACACGTCGCCGGGAAATTAATTTTCTTAATGGCGTGTGCGTGATTTCGTTTTCATTTATTAATTTTCTTAATGGCATAATCCTCAATTTACACCCGATTGCTATCGTTTTTCCGGGATCAATTCACCAGAATGGATGGGGAACGCACATTCTTTTTAACGAGGCGGATGTAAAAAATTAATTTTCTTAATGCAACACGAAATGGAGTGAGTGCCGAGATTGCGAAATAATTAGTGTTTCCTCGGTTAGCGTCCAGGAAACCTTGAAGAAAATTCTTCCGTTATTAAGGCCCGACTGTAAGCTTCGTAGCGATTGCCCGCTGGAATATTATATTATACTGCGTAGTACTTTCGCGTGCGTTGTATGTAAAATCATGAGACTTTTATGATAATTGTAACGCTCTAGTTTAAAACCGCTCGAGAAAAATCAACTCCGAAATTGGTATTAACCAGATAATATTCGTCGCGCGCACTGCGCGGAACAATAGTAAATTTTTCTATATTTTACAATTTTTATTTTCAATTTTGATATTAAATATTTTATCACAATATTGATTTTTATTGGTTTTATTTATCAAACGTCAATTATGCTCGATCGCAAAGATATTAATTTGCAAAGTTTTACTCGTTGAATAATTTGTAATGTGTAAAAATATTCTTATGCATTAATTGTAATTGATATTTATTGAAATAGTATCGATAATTAGAAATAAATGAAGCGGTAAATATAGCATTATTCGATACTTTCTTAACAATTTGAGACTCCGGTTCTCTATATTACACCAGTATAAGAAGCAAATGTTCGGAAGTTTCTTCAGGGTCGAAAGTCGTGTTTTACATTCCGGTACCATTAAGAAAATGAAATTTGCAATTCAGATAGACAAGATACTTCTTGCATCTGCATTGACGTCGCTGACTTTTTCAGGAAGAAAATTGGAACTTGTTCTGTAACGCATTGCATGCATCGTCAAAAGTCAGACTATTATTCAGTAATTATTCTCACTGAATTTATAAAAAAGAGAAAAGAAATCACTATTATCTATAGTTTTAGCGCAAGACTTTCGTCTTTCTTGACGAATTGGCGATAAGTGCCTTCTCCGTATTAACGTTTTCGAATATCTGCCATCAAACTCTTATCCTATATTTATTATATTTTCTTTTTTTTACCAGATTATTTTGGGAGGATCAATCAGGATTAGGAGTCTCGTCAACGAGGAGCAGTAAGTCTTCGGAAAACAAAGAGTGGGGTGAGAGCAGCGGTGGCGGCTAAGAGAAACGGCGTCTCCCTCCGGCAATCTCGTGTCGCGACGTCGTAACTGCCTCGGACGTCCTATAGGTACGTAACCGTTTCGGAATCTGGGGAAGTCGCTCGGCGGTACGGGTGAGAGAAGGGTGATGGTTGGCACGGAGTACGGATACAGCGTAAATTGTTAAGGCGAGGCCTCGCCTAGTTATAAATTAGGAAAGAGGCAATCTCGCCCGGGTTGGATGTTTTCCCGCATTTTCCACGCTCCCTCCGCGCGCCGCCTGCTCCCTCGCGCTGCTTCTTGTCTCTTTGTACGAGGCTTTAGCACCGGTCATAAAAAAAGAAAAAAGCAAGCCGTCTCAGAAATCCACCTGAAATTAAGCCCCACCGTATGGTTCTTCCAAAAAAAAAAATAAAAAAATAAAAATAAAAGGAAGGAAAAGAATGGAAGGAGGTGGAGAAGAACGAAAGAACTCCGTGCCGGAAACTGTACGGCATCTTTCGGTGCGTCTCCCTTTCTTAATCATGGTTAGGCCACCGTCACTGTCTCCTGCGAAATTGTGTTGCGTTCGTGCGATAGCGTCGCGGCGAAGCGCGCCCTTTGTCATGGAAAGCGGTTTAGGGAAAAGCTCGATTTGCAGGAAGTCGGAGACGCGCGCCTTGTAACTAAGGACGTCTTCAAGATTCTATAAGAAAGTCCACAAAGACAAGTAACTATAACAAATAGTTATACTTACCTAGCTGCTTATACAGCCATACATTCTTGTGCACGAAAGAACGCGAAATAATTTTCCTATGCAGATCTCATTTTCTGGGGTTTTTAAAATTAAAAAAAAATGGAATATTCTTCTACACATATATATATATATATATATATATATATATGCCAATTATATGCAATAGAAATAGAATGCCACTGTTTCTATCGTTTAAAATGTAATCTGAAATTTTTCAAAGAACAATTCGGCTTTCATCGATGAGCAATGCATACGCATGCATTAACGCAGCAAAATTTGTTGAGCATATAATGGATAAGAAATATGATATTCATGAATTAAAAACGTGATTCGATTATACCGATTTTTTTTCTCTTTTTGCCTTAATTCTACTGGACTTTTTATTAGATTTTCGGGATATATTCCTGACATATATCTGGATTCGGCGCTTTTTTTCACGAAACGGGTTTAAGCGCGGTATAGCGGGCGGATCATGCGAATATTCTATATCTCGTCGAACGTGCTCTTTGTTCGATTCGGATAATATGGGAGTGTCAGATTTCAATCTCTCGATATGTGAGATACGGCGGGGCGTGCGGCTCCTTTTTAATATCTCTAATATTTCCAGTCAATATTCCCCATTTGTTCCCGATCCATCACTTGTCTGACGTGTAACCGGATGCTCCCCCTATTCCCCTCCCCCCTCCGTCCCACCCTTTCCGAGTCAATCCGATATAGAGAACCGAGTTCGAATTTCCCACCGTAACGTTATCCCACCGTAAGTTGAGTGCAGTGACAAATGTTTTCTTTCCAGATGGAAAATAACCAGTGCATTTCCTCACGCGTGTGTCGCAACCACGCGCGCCGTGTTCCATATCCCTCTGTTATGGAAAAATAATTCCATTTCTCGTAATTTTCTACGGATCGCGGCGAAGTCCATTTTGATGATTTTTCGGTTTCCAAAATTCGTTATCAACGCGAAACAATAGAGAGAGAGAGAGAGAGATCCTTTTTTCTTCTTTGAATACGCAAGCTTTCATTATACCAACGATACAATGTGTATTTTACATTAACTTAATTAAACTGAAATTTACGTCATGTCAAAAATTATGAAAATACCGATTTTTTTACATTTGCGGGAAGAAATTTACGCTAAAAATTATCAATTGAGCGTTTGATCGTGCGGACGGGAAGAAAAATTGTTTCCCCGAAAGCAAGCTTACACTCTCATTGTTCAGTTCGAATAGATCACGACGCGCAATCTTCGTCGAATCGCATCTCTCGAGTGAGGATAATAAAAAAAAAAGTGGAAAAGTGTCGCGCAGTAACCGGTGCGGAGAGATCTCGATTCCATCCAGTGGTTACGCCCAGACCTGGTCAAGTTCGGCAGTGGGTTGGTCCGATTAGAATCAGCCAGAAGAGGCCCGAAACGAGCCTCTGGTTATCCGACTCACGCGCGCCGTTCTCCTCGCAAAAACGGGACGTCCAGCGTCTCCGTTCACTGATCTGTACCTAGAATGTCCTTTTCCGGCTACGTGTCGACGAACGATGGTGGGCATCGACGGTTATCCGGTGGAAATTCCGCCGTGAGAAGGTCGTGCACTGATCCACGAGAGGAACACGACTTCCTTTTGCGTTGGACATTGATTCGGAAAATTCTGCAATTCTGCTGTTCGAAATCCTGCGCGAATAAAATTAAAAGGCCTTTTTGGCATGAGAAAGTAGCTATTTTGATTATTTCGGTGTAATTTTAGGGTAAAATCAAATTTTATTTGCGATATACAATTTAAACAATTTGTGATATCAATTTTTACATCAAGTTAAATGCAAAATTTGTTTTTTTTTTTAATTAATTATATTGTTATTGTATATTTTATAAAATAATCGAAAAAAGCTCCTTTTTTAAACTCAAAGCTCCTTTTTAATATAACGTAGCCTTCCATAAAAAAATATTTTTTCTACACTCTTCATTTTTTCTATACATAGAATTATTATCTTCATAATCGCATAAAGTATGCTAACATTTATTATCGTCACAGGTTATATCATTTTTCATCCAATACATTTATTCTTCGATATATGCGTCTGTTGATCTAAAAACGTTGTACTGCCAACGCCTAATACAGAAAAATATATTTACTTGCTACGCTGCCCCTTCTCGGTGCAATATCTTAGGAATAGGAGACGGGAATACCAAACACAATTTATTTTCGGCGAAGCAGGGCGGCAATCGAAGGGCCAGCCTCTCAGCCGCGGCGTCGGCGGCACGGAACAAGGGCGCGGGCTATTTCCTGCCGTCCCGATAATCGGCCTCGAGTGATTGGATATAGATTATAATGGAAGTTAGACTTAATGCCGGTGTACTCCACCCTGAAGCATTCGCGGCGATATGCGATACCCGTAATCCTCGATCGCAGATTGAGAATACACCGCCCGCTAAAACGCACTCGATCGCTTCATCGTAAATATTACACGCGTGATCGCGCATGAAAAATTAAGTAAAATAATTAATACATTTACAATAAATAAGAAAGTGTCTCTCAAAACCTAGGTAATTATCTCGTCGCGTGAAAATAAATCATTATGCACAGTCAGGAGCAATGTCATATGAAAATTAATTATTATATGATAATCGTGTTAATTAATCTTTTAATTATGATACATACGCGAAAAAGCTTTCGAAATTACCGACAAGTAAAACGGAAGTCCACTGCAATTATAATATTCTATTTTATTTATCATTTTCGTATTAATTAATACAAAATAACGATGGGAAAAAATAACAACGAGGAATTTTGATCAATTTTTTCTTCAAATTTTGCTTGTTACGGCAGATGCCTCAATTCTTGTCGTGTGCAATAATATATACTGCTATTATCATCCTAAGAAACATGATAGCAATATGATTCGTCAGATCTTACATACTGTCAGGAAATACAGCACGAATCCTGTGAACTTCCTCTCGAATTACTTTGATTTCGGTGACTTTCGGGCCATTGACTTCCGTTCTGCCAGCGGCAGACAGAAGTGTTGGCTAAATTAGGCGTAACGACCGCGAAACACGCGCGCCGCGCCGCCGCCGCCGACGCGTGTATTTGTGTATTTGCAAAACTAATCCACTCCTGCGCGCTTGCCTTGGTGGGTACCGCGGGGCGTGCTCTGTTGAATCGTTTCAGCAGACGAAGCGAGCGAATGCAAGGAGTTTCCAATCTGGCCGCTGTCGTTTCCGGGAGAATTATGCGTTCCCTTGCTTAGAGGAAAGGTAATTAGTCCGGTCTGTTGAACATTAATGCGATTATTTTACGTAAACGCCCTTTGTAGGAAGTTGTAATTGGATGAAACTCTGTTTTACGTTTGATTCGCAATCTTACCTCCCTTTGGATGTACGCATTATACGACTTGCGCCGATTAAGTGTTCTTACGCTTCATATCGTAACGAAAGCGCCACGCGGCGGAATAATTACGACAAAATGCGACACGCGAAAAATTCACGCGCCAAATTTGTGTGACGAAAAATATATTCCCGGCGCGTGAATCGCGCAGTTAAATTATATCGTCGAGCTTCTCCTTGAAGAGAAAATAATTTCATCCGCGGAGAAACGTTCAGTAGTATATAACAGCCGCAAGATTCACCGACGATTTAATGTGATAAAGATCGTTTAGTTGTAGCACGTGTGTAACTGGAAGGGTACGGCGAAGCTCTTCAGAGATCGTCGGGAAGCGACGTAGGTGGGGCCAAAAGGGAGAATTCTTTGAAAGTCCTCGAAAGTAATAGGCTGCCTCTCGACCCGAAGTATCACGAATTAGATCTTGAGATAATGCCGCTTCAGCGTTAATGAATCCAAACTATTGAACTCCAATTACATCCTAAAATTGCTTAACTACGCTGAAATCCTGACGAGGAAATGAGAGATGAAGTAGTTACAGAGCGAGCGGGAGAAGTAGAGACGGAAAAGCGAACATAAAGAGAGAGAGAGAGAGAGAGAGAGAGAGAGAGAGAGAGAGAGAGAGAGAAGCTATGATAAAATTAACAAATTCAATATATGTTATCGCAGATTTGTTTCACTGTTATCGCTCATACATTGATACATGCTAATCTTGCTTCGCGACAAAATAAAAGCGCATCCTCCCTAAGTACACGAAAAAGCGTACGGAAAATTGGATTCAACTAAGGCTGGCCACAATAGTGGGAGTAATCACGGTTTTTGCCGATCCTTTTCTGTAACACAGGCTCGATCAGATTGGAACATCGCTATTCGGACCGAACACACGAACTCGCCCGTCGTAGAAGTTGTTCCGCCGACCGAGATTCGCCGGTGATAACCGCCGTTTCCTAGAAATGGCCGCTTATCTGACGATTTTTTCAGGGTTTTG